GTCGGTAGAGGAGCCGATCACAAGCGTCAGCGGCGGGGCTGTCCCGTTCAGGCATTACGTGCCGCTAGGGAAGGCGGCTACATTGCTGCCGTCGTGTGGTGGGCTGCGAGCGCGCGCGTCTGCAGGCGGCGGGCTGCGTGCCTGAGGTAATCCCTGATGAGGGAAGGCGAGCGCCAGAAAGCCCGAGACGGGGCTTTTATAAAGCGTGTGTTGGCCCCGGTGCGGAGACCTGTGGCAGCTCCGGCGTCTTCCCGGCTAGGCTGGCGGTGTCACGAGCTGCGGGGTGGTTAAGGCGGCTGCAGACCGCCGCCTTGCGTACGAGTCTCGCACAAGAGCCGCCCTCACAGAGACTCGAGGGAGCTCCCCAAACATCCCTTGATTGGTTTTGAGTTCTGTGCACAAAAAGAGATTTTTTTTTCTTTTTTTCCTATCTGCCTGTTGGCAGGAATAGGAGAACCTGCTTTTTCAGCAACAACATAGCATGATGCTTCTTACATGATTCAGTTGTAGTGGTGTTCATCTATGTAGAAGTTTGGATAATTTTCACGTTTTCTAAACTCATCCTAAATCTGTTCCTAAGGTTATTTCTAAGTTCCATGTAAGTGCTGAGATCTGCCTGAGGCATTTTGTTTTGTTTTCCTTTTATGTCTTTTGGTACTAAAAATGCTTTCACCTGGCTGCCAGTCAGACACATTCCTGCCTCTCTACTTGGTGAGATTAATTGCTCAACTTGCTCTCTGTCAGACAAATACTGAGGTATAGCTATTCCAATTTAGAGAATGCCCCAAGGGGTTACAGATCTGAACACACCTCATGGAATTGTGGTGATGTTTGTAGCATGTCTTGTGTTAAGAGTCCAGAGCTCTACAGCTGTAATTCCAGTTGTATCCTGAAAGAGTTAGAGAGATGGGTGCAAGGTTTGACAGAGCAGTGTTTTGGACTGGGGGCTCCAGCTGCCTCTGTAGAGGACCATGTAGTCTGGGGAGGTGGGGGAAATCTACAGGTCACCTATGTATGTGTACATACACTCAGTCAAATTGGATTTCTATGAGGTGCGATGTCTGTGTGAGCACATACAGTCTACCGACTTTCCTTTCTTGCTCCATCCTCCACTTTGGATTTTGAAGGTTAGAAGAAAGGAGGGATAAGGTAGTCAGTACCTGTTAATGCCTTACGTAGTCAGTCATGTGCAAGCAGAAGTCCATGCCCTGCAAATAGTAAATAGAAGTAACCCCATACACCTACTGATGAACAATATCTTTCAAAGGGTATCCAGGTCCTTACAAATGATTTCTCTTCATGCTGAAGCAGCTGAAGAAGGTTGGGATTTTGTTGCCTACTTAGAGGCAGGTGGGAGGGCCAGTACTGTTAACTCATTAAGTTAAGATCATCTGGCTGCTGGTCAGAGCTGGGGATGCAAAGTATGAGTCTTGCTTTCAAAGGGTTTTTGGGTGATAGGGTAGTATTTAACTTCAGCTTCCTGAAGTTTATACTGTGCTTGTAGTGAATTCAAAGTTCCTATAGGCCTTCTAAAATTCAGCTTCTGCTCAAAATTGTCTTTGAGAGCAATCCTTGTATTTAGAGGATGAATTGTTATCTAAGTTCATCTATGAATTTCCTCCTCATAGATTTAGAAATGTGATGTTATATGTCATTTTGAGGATGCGAATTAAGTTGATATTTTGATACTTTATAACATTCTATACTTTATTATTCAGATATCCCCATTATTCTTTGTAGGCTTGAAAAACAAATAAAGAAGGGCTGATAAGAAAAATCTCTGGAAGATGGAGCATAAAATTCAGCAGATCTAGTAATGTAGAGAGGTGCTGATATCCTTCCCAATCCTAGGTAGGTGGATTTAGAGTTAAAGGTGTCTGTAAGAGGTCATTATGTTCAATTATTAATCATACAAAACAACGTGGGGATGGTGATATTTAAATTCCTAGTCCTAGGTATTATGTCACTGAAGTGTGCAAAATCAAAGACGTGACTGTTACACTGGTTGGTCAAAACTTCCGTAATCTGTTTGTTTGTTTGTTTCGGTAGTGATAAAGACTAGAAGGGAGCATTAACGTAAGATAATGTTTTATTTATTACTTGAATCACCTTTTCATGTATTTAAGTATATAAGATACTTTCTTTTGTCATGACTGTCATGGTAACGTAATTACATTAGAATGGCTGTTTTAAAAGTATTTTTTACCGAAAGGGTGTGAAATATGAAAGTCATATAAAATATAAAAATGGCATATAAAATTAAGCATACAAATAAAATATAATCACTTTGTATCAGGAAAAAATGTATTTTATAATGTGCCACTGCGTTTCCAGCTTTCTAGTGTGTGAAATTGTCTCCTTTTGTATCCTTTTGTATCAGACTGCTTAAACAACCAAAAAAACCAAAACAAAACAAAAAAAACCCAAGAATTCTTCCAGTATTCAATGAGTTGGGCAAAGGTTCAGCTTACCTTTGTGGAGTAAAGATAATTATGAGAATGTAAGACTAGTTAGCTTTATTTAATTCCAGTAAGGCTAGCAAATGGAGGAGAAGTGAAAAAATAGAAAGGACAGAGTTAGGAAAATCCTGTGATACTAGAATTTAGTGCTGTATTTGCTGCTGTCTTTTGAAAAACTGACAAAAATGAATTGTGGGAAAACGTATTGGGCTTCTGAGAAGAAATCTGTCTTTTCCATTTGTGTGACTACTTCGGCATATAAAGAAAATAGAAGGTGAGTGTCCTGGGTAATAGGTGACATGTAATATGTTTCTTTAAGGCCGTCCCTCATCATTCATAAATTCACAGACTACTGTGAATTTAGCGTTGAAGACATAGTGATTAGATACACATACCAAAACTTAATCTATTTCAGAACAGGAGGAAGGGATTTTGGCCCATCTTATTGGAAATTATGAACAGAGACGGACAAAAAATAGGTGAAAAGGCCAAGAGGTGACAAATTTAGTCACTGTTATCTACCATTATAACTCTCAGTCTTATACTTTTCTCTGTATTTCTGCTTCTGTAGTGAGCTCTAGTCTTTGGATGGGAACCATCTTTGGGGGTGGATGGAGCAGAGGGATATTTGCTCCACTATGTGCAATACCAGAAGAAAACAAACTATGTTAAATTGTGTCCACCAGTTCACCTTGAAGTTTCAGACCTCTGTAATTCCTGTTACAAAAACTTTCAGGCAGACAACAGCTTCGGAAAGATGGGTATGGGAAAGCTTTCCTGTAGTAGATCTCGCAAGACTCCAAGTAGATCTTCAGAAGCATTTCTGTCTTTGAAGAGTCTTTTGGAGGATCTTAGAAAAAAAATATTGAGAACTTTGTGTAGATGGGTAGATTAAAGCAAAACTAGAACTGACAGTCAAAACATTTTTTTTTTAATATTGTATAATGTGATGCAGCCACTGTGTAAGGAGCAGTAATGAAACTGTCATACAGTGACTGAGAAATTGGATAGCCCTAGCCTGGGAGCCATGGACTTGGAGTCAAATCTTGCCCTGTTATCACCCTGGCTCTGCCCAAGAGTAAGTGGAAAATCTGGCAAATTTTCTCACCTTTCTGCTTTATCTGTGAAATAAATTGGGGTAAAAATCTACTTGCCAGTGGTTAGAATTTAATTAATGATTGCACAGTGTGTATTCAAAGCAACTAAATATTTAGCTGTAGTGTAATTGGACTACTGTAGTTGAAAATATGCCAATAGACATTGGCATAAAAAATGGAATCGACCTCAAGTACTGTAGAGTTTTTAATTGTTAATAATGAAATTCTGATGCTTAAAGTAGTTATCACTGAGGCAGGGAATGCTGCTATGGGAAAGACATGACAACTCTTTTTTTAATCTTGAACTGAAAAATATTTCTATATGTACACATATACACACTTCAAGCACGCAATAATTTAAGCAGAAAATAATTCCTCCTTTGCTTTGTAGTTGTCACTGCAACATACAGAGTTTGGCACAGAGGAGAGTGGGGGAAAAAAAATAAAAACCCTCTTCATCTGACTGGAAATGTTTTTTTTTTTTTTTTTTTTTTTTTCTCTCTCCATTGTTACCTGGCTTGCACAATATACTTAGGGTGTTTTTGTTTCATGATTTCGTTCAATCCCAAGCTGTTGCAAAGTTTGGTTTTAAGGGCTTGGGAAGAAGGAGACAAACTAAGCTAAGAGTAAACTAAGAGATATCAACAAAAGAATTGCTGAGGAGGTAGCATCGGTTGAGAAAAGGCAGTCATAGCTGTTAACCCTTAAGAAGCCCTTTCAAGGGGAAGCAAAATAAGGGGTAGAGATGTCCTCATTCCTAAATGACTTTTATATTTCTGAACCTTTTACAAAAGCTTTTCTTAAAACACTTCCCTTCTACAAACAAAATAGTTTTTGTTGTAATCAAGACAGGGAGTATATCAATATAAAGAAGGCTGTCTTCACTTTCATTTCTGGGTGGCAGAGCAGTCTATTTATTATTCATACTACAGAAAAAAAAAATTGCCCCAGTTTCACGACTAAAGAAAACAAAGAAGGGAGAAATTATCTTCTTAAATCCAACATTGTTCAGACTTGCCATACTGTTGTATGTATTAGGCTTTGTCCTCAATACAAAGATTAAAAAAGAAACATTCTTTTTAATATCATAAGAGGTAAATTAGGGCAGCTTTTTCTATATTTAGTCCTAGTGGAAACAAGACACAGGTAGGTTTTTATAGCCAGGTAGCCAGTCAAGGCCAATCATGTGTCTCTTAGTTGGAGTTGATATCAACCTGCTATATCCAAATAAGAAAATACGACACTTGACTGTACGATTGAAATACCTGCTCCTTGCTGGGAACCAATAATATTTCTGGAAATGGTCAGTAGAAAGCAATAAGAAATAAAGCTGGGTATCTTTAGACTGATAATTTCCCTTCAGTCCAAAATAGTTTGAAAAAGATTTTCAAGATGTGAAAAAAAATGGGTGCATTAACATTGGCACTCAGGTATATGTGCATAGCTCCCAAATCATACAGTCAGAGTCTTTTTTGAAAAGAAATATTGTTTCCTCATTTTCATGCTGAGTAGAACATGTTAGGCTTTTCACATGTACGCAAATTGCAAGTAAACTCTGAAGACTAATGATGTTTTTCTGTTTGAACAATACTTTGGAGTAAACTCTGAAGACTAATGAAGATGTTTTTCTGTTTGAACAATACTTTGTGATGGAGAACAATGTGATGCTCATAATGTGATAGAGAGAACAATACTCTGTGATAGAGCTATATCACAATACCATCTGCTACCACTGTATCACAAAAGTTTTCTCACATGAAGACACTTTCATTACTTGTGCCATCACCTTTCTCTGATTATTTATTTACTTATTACA